TCCCGATCCTAAGAAAGTCATAATCTTTAGAAGTAAAGATCATAAGAAATCATTCTTCAGGCTTCATCAGAAACATCTTTCGTCATCCACAACTATCAATGAGTTCATTGTTTTCTTCAACTTGAACTATTTCTCAAAAGAACTTAATAAGTCAATCATCATGGAGTTAAACTAAATTTTGTTAGTTAAGAAGTTCTGGCAAAGGGTATTAGACTTCCTCGACTTAAAGTAGATAACTTTTATAATGACCACGTATGGGGGATTGCTAATACTCATAAGAATTGACCATGCGGAGTTTGTGGATAAGCAGTCTTATATCAACATTGGTGAATAGTAGTAAAGCTTCCATCAGCAACATATGCTCACGATATTAGTTATCTTTTATAAGCGTCGGCCACATATATGTACTTTAATAATATTCTATTTTAGGCATGTCTGATTAGATATTTGGATGTATATACCTTGTATCTTTTAACTGTTTGGTCCATACTTTTGTATCTCGTGCCTAGAATGGCGATATGACGTATCATATATTGTTTGCCTATAAAAAGACTCGATGATTATGTTTCACAACCGAACAATTAACACTTTATGTTCAATATGTGATATCTGTTATCTTCTAGTTTAATGTTTATTATCATTTGCTATGTTTTATTTTCAGTCATCGTTTATAGTTGTTCTTATCTTTGTTATTTTTTACGGATCATTGTTATTATTGTTGGACCTTAAACTGATTTTATCATTATATAAATCAAAGTATTGTGTTTATTTTTATAATTTTGTTTCTAAGTTCAAAATTTTGTTAAGATGATTTAAAATTGCAATAAGCACCCAAAAAGTGCATTTATTTTGGTAAAGATCCGTATCTCTTTTTATTTTTATAAATGTGAAAAGTTACATCGGTTCATATTTTTGAAGCTTGTACTAGAAGCATTGATGAAATATTGCGAATTATTTTTCAAAATGCAAAAATATTCAAAAAATTTATGATAAAATGAAGCTCAAAGATTAGTTAACTTTATAGAAAGGTTTAATGGAGATTGTTTTACTTATAAAGTGTTTAAAATAAACCACAAGACCATTAGTGAAATTTTATCTTATTTGTTTGATTATTATTTAATACTTTGTGTAACTTATATTTCTACATTTGAGTGTGTAATTTTTATTCAATTCATTACACGTGCTTCAATTTTAGGATTTAAATTTTCATATTTTTTTTGTGGTTTAAATAGAACTTAAGAGTTTTTGTGATATCTAATTTGTATTATTTTTTATTTTTTATTTTTGTGTATATATATATATATATATATATATATATATATATATATATATATATATATATATATATATAGATATATATAGATAGAGAGAGAGAGAGAGAGAGAGAGAGAGAGAGAGAGAGAGAATGATTGAAAATTAGGAAATCATTCTCAACCAATCATTTATGTTTGTCGTAAAACCCTACATCGTACCAACAGAAAGGAAAAAAGAATACACATGTATTTTCAAACAAAATATGTTTCCTTAAACTATGTTAATCATTACCTTAATATATAAAAAAATAGTTTTTATTCTTCGTTTTTTTTAATTTTTAAGGAGCTATTTTTATAAAAAAAAACGATTTTAAATATAGAGTAAATTACACAAATGGTCCCTATGGTTTGGGTTAATTTACGCGCTTGGTCCCTAATTTATTTTTTAACTCGGAAGGTCCCTACTGTTTGTTTTTGTTACGCGCTTGGTCCCTACTGTTTTTTTTGTTACGCGCTTGGTCCCTGTCTTACCTAAAAAAACTATTATTTAAATAAGAAAAAATGTTAGGGGTAGGTAAGGTAAGGTGAAGGGGTGAGGTTGGGGTGTGTTTATTTAAATTAATTGAAAAATCAAGGGAAAAATAGTCTTTTTAGGTAAGACAGAGACCAAACGCGTAACAAAAACAAACAGTAGGGACCTTCCGAGTTAAAAAAATAAGTTAGGGACCAAACGTGCAAATTACCCTAAACCATAAGGACCATTCGTGTAATTTACTCTTAAATATATCAAAATTTATAATTTTTTATTCTCTATAAATAGACATCCATATTGACATAGTTTAAGATAAAATATTTTTTTAATAGTTTCAGTTCTAATTATTCATAAATGAATAAAAATGCATCAGATTTTTATTACAATACATTCGTTATTCACTTATGAATAAAAAGTATGTTTAATTTTTTTTATAGTTTAAGTATCATTTATATATAAATATAACATGTAATAAACTTTTTACAGTTTTACATCAACTCTCGTTACATGTTATATTCACATATGAATAAAAGTGTTTTAGCTCTCCTCACAAGTTATATTCATATATGAATAACACATTTATTAAAAAAAATTTACAGTTCATTTGTTATTCATATATGAATAAGTAGTTTGATTTTTCAAAACACTTCGTCTTTTATTAACATACTACTTATTCATATATGAATAAGAAACGAACTATAACTCAAATATGATTGATGTTTTATTCATATATGAATATAACATATGACGAGAGCTGATACACGTTTTATTCATATATGAATAGAACATGTGATGAAAGATGATGTAAAAAATATATTTTAAGTAAGAAAACTTTATTACGTGTTATATCCATATGTGAATGATACTTAAACTATATTAAAATAAAATTAAACATATGTTTTATTCATAACTAAATAACGAATGTACTATAATAAAAATATGATGTATTTTTATTCATTTATGAATTAGGAAAACTAAAACTATAAATTTTTTTTTTATTTTATCTTAAAACAATATATTAATATGGATGTCTATTTATAGAGAATAAAAATTTATGAATTTTGATATATTTAACATATTTTTTCAATAAAAATATTTTCTTAAATTTTTCTTTTTTTAAAATTATGTTTTTGTATATATGAAAATAATGCTTAGCACATGTTTGGTTTAAAAAAGACACGTGCATTCCTTGCCAATTTTCGTCAGTACGCCAATGTATTTTACGACAAAATAAATGTGTGACTGAGATTTATTTCCATTCTTAACCTTTTTTTTTCTTTCAATTCAACTATTTTTCTCTCTCTCTCTCTCTCTCTCTATATATATATATATATATATATATATATATATATATATAGTTAGGTTATAATGTGGATGAACAACTATTGTGCGGACGTGTGGACAATGCTATTCTATGAGAATTACCGAGAGAATAAGTTCTTTAGTAATGTGAATACGTTCAAGCTCACACAACTATTGTCATTTTCATGCATTCTTATTAATTCTTATTCATTTTTGTTCTTATGCATCGTTTTTCACTCATTTTCATTCTTACAGAATACGACTTAATAAATATTCTGATAACATTATGACAGAATGAGAATAATAAAAATAAGTCTATAATAACCTTATAGACGATTTAATTAGTGAGAATGCATGATAATGACAATAGTTATGTAAGATTGAACGTATTCATATTATCAAACAACATATTTTCTTTGTCATTCTCACATAATAACACTATCCACGCGTCCGCACAATAGATGTCAATCCATATTGGAATATATATATATATATATATATATATATATATATATATATATATATATATATATATAGTAGTATTCAATTACTTTTGGTTAAACCGAGTATTTTTTTTTATACTTTGATAAATTATAAAAATTGTCAATAAAATAAGGAGGAAGGACCGAATAGGAGAACTTATTAACATATTTACCAAAGAAAAAAAAACCAAAATTCCAAATGAATCAGTTAAAAAAAATATTTTAATATATTAAATTAGTAAGTTTTACATTTGACCTTGGGATGGTTGGCCTTTGCCCAATACATTCTGACAGTATTTCACAGACTTTCTGGGAAGAAAAGCAAAAATGTCATGCATATATAGATTCCCTATATGTAAATAACAGTGTCTTACAAAACTCCAAAGAACACTACAAAACATTCTCACCCAACTTATTAATAATAAAGTTTGTTTTTTAATATCCGAAAATACTATATTTTCTTACAATGTATTTAAAGGAAAACTCATAATGATATAACTTTACTTTCTTTCTTTATAAAGCCATGGAAAAAGCATGTTTAATTTTAACATGATATTAATAAGATATAATTGTTTCTAAAACTAGAAAAAAGCATAAAGTTATATCAAATTTAAGTTAAAAAAAACAAGGTTAGGATATTTAACTCGAAATGGGTTCTTTTTACGACATAATGTAAACGAGAAAAGGTTTAAGAAATTTATTTTGAGTGTTTATTGATAAAAATACTCGTATAAACGTAGTTCATAGTTTAGATTTAACTTGGATTCTATATGCATTTCTTATCTGCTTTGCACAAAACGGTTTCCCATTAATCACGAATGAATATTGCTACACCTGCTTTCCTACTCAATTGTCAATTTTTTTTTTCTTTAATCCAACGAAAGCTTTGTTTTTTTCTTGTTAAGTGATGTCCCAATAAATATCGTTTATACAATATGAAAGAGAAGTAGTTCAATGTTTGAGAATAAAAGGAATGAAATTTAATTGTGAGAAATCCAATTAAGTCCACATGAAAGAAACTTTACTTTAAAGGACCATTAATACTAGCAAAAACTCCAAAGGACTGAAAGTGACAATTGGATATTACCCAAGGGATATTTTGGTAATCTACTTTTTAAAGTTTAAGAGGGAAAATAATCAAGAAATCTTAAAGCTACAAAAGAGAGAAAGAGAGAGATAAGAAAATGAAAGGAGTAAAAGAGGTGATAAAGAAGGCTTTAAATATATATGTTGTTGGAGTGAATCCAAAAGCAGAAATACACAACTGGCTTTGCCACTGACCTGTGACACATGATTTACCCATGAAAAAGGGGGATCATCACTTCTCACAATGCCAACAAAACTGAAAAAGAAAGAAGGTATGGGGGTAGATATGTAATTTCACAATCTTGAAAGGAAAAACACAGTCCCTTATTACTGTCCTTTTGCATCCCCTTCCCTCCTGTCTCCTCTCTCTCTCCTCTCCAACATTCAAGAAAAAACCCAGATTTCTCTCACTATTATTGACTGAATCCGACAGATTTGTAGCAAATTTTCATCTTCTCAAGAACACCAACATCTTAAAAGTTAAAAGCGAAAATGGGTTTTTCATCTTCGTTTTCGTTCACTACATGAATATGGTGATGATCTTGAAGATCCCTATATCTGGTTCTCTGATGAACCATTGATGAGATGAAGGAAGGTGAAAGGAAAAGACTTTAACCCAAGTGAGAAGATAGCAGAATTAACCCTAAAGTTGAGGTCTTTTTCGTCATTTTCTCACATACCCAAATAAATTTTCTTGCTGATAAACATTGCAAAGATGAGGAAACATGGATGGCAACTTCCATATCATCCTCTCCAGGTCTGTAAAAAATTCATCACTTGTTCTTATCATCCTTGAGTCCTTTTAAGTTCTTGAAATTTAACTTTATTCGGTATTAACCTATACACAGGTGGTAGCTGTTTCTGTATTTCTCGCATTGGGTTTTGGTTTCTATGTATTCTTCGCTCCTTTTGTTGGAAAAAAGATGTATCAGTATATTGTAATGGGGATCTACACTCCTCTCGTAAGTTTACTTTCCTCTTTACTCTCAATTATGCATCTTGATTACGTTTTCAACCTTTTTGAAGTCCCTTTTGGTGCTAAAACCAGAGATCTGTCTCTTGTTTTGTGTTTCTTATGTGATTTTGCTTGTAAAGTTCAGTTAATTCTATGTTATTCTAAATGGGTTCTTTCAGTCGATGATTTTTTTGCGTGAATAATAATTGCAACGGTTATATTTTTCATTTTATATCAAGAAGTAGTAACTTTGTGAACAAATTGTTGCTTGTTTTCTAGCTATCTGTTTGGTTGTGTTAGGCTGTTCCAGAAGGGCACTTATCAGCCACTATTCATGACCTCAGAGCGAATTATCTGAATTGAAAGGTGGTCAACTTAAAGATTTTGACTTTGAAATCACCCAATTCTTTTTCCATATTCAGAATAAAAAACGAATATTCTACAAATTCAGCACAACATTTTTACAGTTTTAGCATTTAGAACAATGTTCAATTGAGATTGCTACAAGTTTCTTGAGAATTCAAACCATTTTTAGGCCTTGAAGTCAAATCTTAGGGTCTGTTTCTTTTTCTCCTTTAAGATAAAGTGCTTTATGCATAAAGTCTTTCTTTTTTGACTGAATGAACTCTATGAATACAAGTAATAACTATATATGGGTGTTTCCTTATTGAACTAATGACCTGTCTGAATATGAATAAATGACCATTTTGCCCTTTCGCTCTTTTAATCCAGTAAACTATACATGTGAGTTTCTTTTCGACCGATACAGAAAAAACGAATTAATATTTTGAAAGTCAAGGAAATGAGGCTTTCCCCATTAAGTTCTATGTTTCTACAATTTTTCCCTTATGTGATTTTCCTTCGATATATATTTATTTAAAATCATTGACTAAACTTAATCACAACACTTTTGTCTTCCCAGATTATATCTGCATTCGGTTTGTACATATGGTGTGCTGGAGCGGATCCAGCAGATCCAGGAGTTTTCAAGTCAAAAAAGTATCTTAAAACCCCAAACAACAAAACAGGTCATAGAGTAAAAGAATCAAAACATGGTGGTGAATCAGCATCATCAATACAAGATGCAAACACTGCAAGTGTTGGAGACAAACCTTCAATCAAGAACAGCAAGAATCAAGATTCAAGAACAGAAGACAACGTGTCTGAAACCAACAATGAGACATCAACATCAAAACCATTAATGGCTATCTTGGCTTTAATTCCTTGTGCTTTGATGTGTCATTGCTCAAATCCAAGTGATGAATCTTCTGAACTCCATACGAGTGAAGATGGCATGTTCTACTGTAGTTTGTGTGAAGTTGAGGTGCATTTCTTCTTATGATATAAAGAAAATCGATACATGTTGACTTTTATGGTCAAAAAACCAGTTTTCTAGGGTGGTATACTTGCAGAAATCTGTATTAATTCTTTGAATTCATAACATATACACATAAAAGAATGATTTCAAATGTATAAATTGTATAATACATTGAAAAAGCAATAAACTTGACAAGAAAAATCAGGTTTCTTGACTATGTGTGTAGTGCTACTTCTACACAAGAAAGATTCAACAACTTTGTGAGAATTTAGCATCTAAAAGCAAATCCATGATTGTTTTTTTGTTTTTTTTTGCAGGTTTTCAAGTATAGCAAGCATTGTAGAGTTTGTGACAAATGTGTGGATCGATTTGATCATCATTGCAGGGTAATATAACAATTATAGTTTCATCATTTCATGAAATAATTCCTTTACTTCTTGGAGAACACATTTAATGCATTTTCATTTATTCTTTTTCTTTTTGCAGTGGTTGAATAACTGTGTAGGCAAGAAAAACTACAGAAAGTTCTTTACTCTTATGATCTCTGCTCTTCTCCTGGTAAATCCAACTCTCTCCATTTTTTCTCAGTGTTGACTTTTCAGCACACATAGTCAAACATTGACATGTCTTATTCCTTCTACTCTTAAAAATTGCAGCTTATACTTCAGTGGTCAACTGGTATCGTTGTCTTGATATGCTGTTTCCTTGATCACAAGAGATTCAACTTAGATATAGCTTCCAAACTTGGAAGCAGCTTCTCATTGGTGCCTTATGTTATAGTTGTGGTGCGTTTTTCTTTCTTTTCATCTTATAACTTTAAAGTCAACCGTATTACTTTTGAAATCATATGAATGCATATATTTTTACTTGTATAACATCAATCTTTCTCTAACAAAGATCAAACTCTAAATGTTACAGGCAGTGTGCACTATTTTGGCTATGATTGCAACATTGCCACTTGTTCAGCTTTTCTTCTTCCACATTCTTCTCATAAAGAAGGTGAGCTTTCTACATTTCAGTTTCTCCAAATCTTTGTTAAAAATCATAATCAAGATTATTAATTAGTAAAAAAACTCGTGTGACAGGGTATAAGTACTTATGATTACATCATAGCATTAAGGGAGCAAGAACAACAAGGAATGGGTGGACAACAAAGTCCTCAAATGTCACCTGCAAGTTCTATAACTGGTTTAAGCAGTGCAAGTTCCTTTAATAATTTTCGTCAAGGAGCTTGGTGTACACCTCCACGTTTGTTTGTTGAAGATCAGGTATTTTTTTTCAGTTATTTGGATAAATCATGTTTAAAAAGTATTTGAATCGAAAGGAAAATATTAATATGGATTAACTTCTTTTTGCAGTATGATGTAGTTCCACAAGACACTGGTTCAGTGAGCTCATTGGGGAAGAAAACAATAGAAGAGCCCATGAAGAAAAAGAACCCGGCACCCGTGAAAATCAGCCCGTGGACCTTGGCCCGTTTGAACGCAGAGGAAGTGTCAAAAGCAGCAGCAGAAGCCCGAAAGAAGTCCAAAATCTTGCAACCCGTGTCAAGAAAAGAGGGCCAACAAATGGGCCCGGGTATGGGCCCAGGCCCATATGGTCTTGAAAGGGATAGCAGCCTCGGAAGCAGTGAACGCCGGTTGTTCTCCCGCATCGATAACAACCGAAGGCGGGGAAGCAAGCGGGTCCGCCTCCCGGAACATTTACAACCCGTGGAACAGCCGCCAGCAACTGGCGGCAGTTTGGCTGGTTTGGTGCCTTTGCAGCTTGAAGCCCGGAGTGTTTTCCGGCCAATGTCGGGTTCGAATGGAATCATCGGGTCTTCTCCGGATAGTAGCTTGGACTCGCCGGATATTCAACCGGTTAGGATCTCATCGGGGGCTGAGGAGGGGCGGAAGTCCACCGGGCTGCCGCCCTCTGCCGCCCATGTAGGGGTGATGCCGCTGTCGAGATCAACTAGTGATGGTTATGATGCATCTGGTGGTGAAGATAGTGATCGTGTATCCTCTCGGTTGGTTCAAAGATCCGGAAATTGGGGTGCACGGTTTTTTGGTGGTGAAGAAGATGAACGGATTGCAAGATTCAAGATGCCATCTTCTTCAACATCATCGACTTATCCAAATGAAAGGAAGATGTAATCAAGATTCAAGATTATGATTCTTGAAACGGGTGGAGACTATTTTTGCAATTTTTTCATTTATTAGCCCGGGGGTATGGGGAAGTTGGATTATTGACTCGGGTATACTGAAAGGTAACGAGTTTGTGGGGGGTTGTGAGAAGGTGGATGGAAGGGGGAGATGACTCAACTGAGGAATGATTTGTTCATGTAAACGAGATTGCTGGCTATTTGTGAAGTCATTAGCCATGTTTGTGAATATATTTGCTCAAATGCCAACGTTTCTAATTAATTTGTTAAGAAATGAGATACTTGACATAAAATGATGTTTTGGTTAATTGGTGAATAGTTTGCGCTTTAAGGAAATATTTTAGTGTTGAAACATGTCTTTTTGTCTAATTTAGGGATGAGCCTTAGAACCCGAACCGGTTTTCCTATATTATAAGAACCGGGAACCAGACCGTCGGTTCCAGATCCAGTCCTGGTTTTTTCGGTATTTTTCAAATTAGAACCGGGTGAAATATTATAGAGGATATGTTATCTTCCGAAGCCTGTAGATGATTCAATATTTAACCAAATTATAATTTTTTACATTCTAAATTGAAGTACAAACACTAAATTACAAGATGACAAAAGAAAGTAATTCCGATTTTATATGAGTGAGTTATGTGCATTTTAAAAACGGGACAAATTAAAAAAAAAACATAGAAATAGAAAATATGCAGCATTGATATGTTGTCTTCCGGGGTCTATAACTGATTCGGTATCTAACCAAAATATGCGTTTTTATAGTCTAAAATGAAGTACAAACATCAAATTACATGCTGTAAAAAAAATTAAGTAATTCCGATGTCATATGAATGAGTTATGCACATTTAAGAAATGAATTACAAACTCTAAATTACATGCTGAAAAAAAAATCAAGTAATTCCGATTTTATATGAGTGCGTTATATGCATTTTAAAAAACGAGAAAAATGTCAAACCGGTTCCGGTTTTTAGAACCGGGACCGGTTATCATAAAAATGGAGAACCGGTAACTGGACCTAATTACCTATTCCGGTTTCGGTCCAGTTATCCCTAGTCTAATTGTGTGAGTATTGGAAGTTTGAATCTTTATGACAAACTTCTTACATAAGGTAACATTCCACTTATGTGTTCTGGATGGTTTTGGACTGTTTTTAGGATTCTCTTTGTAATGTAATTAATAAGGCCATTAGGATCTATGTTTTAATTGATTCCCTATTGACTTTAGAGATCAAGAAAGAATCTTGTAACCTTCTTGCATAAATCAAAATATATATACCGGTGCCTTTGTGGCTTTCCTACAAAGGGTCCCCAATATATATACTAGTGCCTTTGTGGATTTCCTGCAAAGGGTCCCCATCCAATTTATTGTGTTCTAGTTTGTGACTGTATGTGATCCAAGTATCCATCATATTACAAGTGATATCATAGCCTATCATTCTAAAACCCTAAATTGACTTCTCCCTAAACCTTAGCATAGTTCATTTGCCAATTTCCTATAAATCTTGTACATGGTTCTTCCTAATCGATTTTCATACTCTCTCTTCTCATATTTCCTAAACCCTAATTGATTTCTGTTGGACTTCTCTAGGTCTAAATTGATGTTATCCCAACAAATCTACATCCACAAATCGATTTTCCTATAAATCTTCTATAAGGCCATAATCGATTTTCTCTCACGGCTTATATGAAGTACGCTCTTCTTTCTGTTGGATCATGACACTAGGTTTTCTTTATGGTAAGTGAAGATATACGGTCTATTAGTTCAAGCCAACTATGATAATACACTCGAATTGTTTGGAGGTGAAGCTTAGACTAGTTGGACGGAAGTTGAGAAAAAGGAGTGCAATCCTTAGCTCAAATTCAGCTACACCTACACAATATATACACCAAGAAGTGCTCAACGAAAAAACTACTACTGTTTTATGGTTAAAACTTGAATCGATTCGCACGAAGAAGAAATTCACAAGTAAGATGCATGTGAAATAGAATTCATTGATATATGACCTACGAGTCGGTGGAAATATGTTTTCCTATATATTTGACTTCAAAGAAATCATGTATGACTTTGTTACATTGGAAATTAAGTATGATGAGGATGCAACTCGTGATTGTTTGGTCGCCTAGTGGTCACGACATGATGACCGTTGACTTTTTGACCAGTTTGATATTTGGTTAAACTTGTTGGGATTTGAGCTATATTCTAAGGTTTAACCCAAGGTTGTAAAGACGCTCGACGTTAGCTAGTCGGTGGGCTGGGGTTAAGGGATTAATCGGCTAGACGGAGATTAGTCAAGGACCCTAAATTCCTAATTCATTGAATTTTAAGAAATTAAATATGACTGGTATAATAACAAAGTTCGTAAATATCACTAATATCATAACAAAATATGTTACAACACTAATCATTCCTCAAATAGTTTATATTGAAATAGAGTTTCTTCAAAGTGTTAAAATTTCATGGTTTGCTACTGCTTCTCTCTATGTGTAGGTAATGATTAATCGTTAGGCGCCTTCTAGTCGGTCGCGTAGCGCCTAAGGACTAATGAAGATTAATCGAGACCTAGTTAGGATTTTTACAACACTGTTTTAACTTCTATTTGGTTATTGGTGGTTCGGGTAAGCTGTTAATTATCCGAGAATGTGAGACTATTGTTATTAACTTCAGGTGAGTCTTTTCACTATATTACTTATTTCATGATTAGATATGTTGGATTAGGTGTCTAAGCCCATAACTATAATTGGTATGTACTTGACCCGATAGTAGCATGATCCTTTTGGGTTGCCTTCACCATAGCGATATGATAGGATGAGTTTTGGAGAAAGAGGTTAATTAATGATTTATTAATATATTATAAGAATAATATATTAATTGAGAAATCATATTATTTAATTAGTATTGATCATAAATTAATTTGGAATTAGTTTAGTGATCAAAAGAGATTGATTAAAAGAACGGGGACTGATTATGTAAACCAGTAATAGTTGTAGTTTGGGCTAATGGATCCTATTGGTATAGGGTGGACGGAAATCTATGGGGAGCCCAAAGATTTTTCGTCCAAGGCTTGCCATATGGGGGTCCATATGTTGCTTAGGGCCTAAGCAAGGGAAATTAGGGTTTCTAGTTGAAAACCATAGCAGCTCAGCTATATAATGAACCCCTAGGTTCCAGTTTTCGGCTATTCATTCTTTGAAGAACCCTTTGGCCAAAAATTGTGAAGCTTCATAACCTTTCTCCTTCTTCCTCATTGCTAGTGGTGTTTGTGACTCCATTAGATGTGCAACAATTGAGGCACTAAGCTCTTGAAGGTCAAGATCAAGCAATCAACAAGAAAGATATTCTTCTAACTCTTGTTTTATTCATTGAATCTGAAAATATGTATGCTAGATTAGGGTTTTGCTTTGGAAAATTATTATGCATGTATAACTTGAAAAAAACCTAGATCCAAAGCAAATAGGGTTGCATGTGCACCATAGGAATGTTGTAATGCTCAAAACCCATCAGTGGTATCAGAGCTTAGGGTGTTTTTCTGTTATATTTGATGCTATTGTGTTTTTCAAAGCTGGAACAAAAATCGGTTTTTGGCTTCTGACTGCAGAACTCGACGAGTTGGACCTACTCGACGATGAGTTGGTTCGTCAGATGACAGATTTTTCAGATTTCAAGCCTAAATTAGATTAGGATGATTACCTTAAATTGTTTTAACTGAAAATTCAAATTTTCTGGTATGGTAATGATTATCCTCATCTAATTGGAAGATAATGGTCAAATTTTAAGATAATGTCGAAAATTATATGATTAGTTTAAATCATTTAAAATTTGATCTAGAAGTTTTGAAAAGTTTCAAAATTTGCCCTCAAGTTTTGGAATTTAAAATTTGATTAAAAGTTTTAATTTTGAAATATTAAATTCTAAAACCCTAGTGTTTTAAAAGGTTTAAAATACAACCCGTATACTATTATAATATTAACAACTTAATACTTATATATATATATATATATATATATATATATATATATATATATATATATATATATATATATATATATATATATATATATATATATATATATATATAAGATGAGCCAGTCTTACCGTTAGTAGGCCTCATTCACGAAGCTGGTCTATAAGGGGTGTTTAAGGAAGCGGCCTATAAATTTACCGCCATTGGGTATCCATTCTTACCCACCACACTCTTGACTAGTGGAGGGTCGTTAGCCGAACGGGTAGGATATGAAATTAATTCCTCATTAATAAGTATAATGAAAGTTATAAAGTAACTAAATGTTTTATAAGTTCCCAATCTTAGTTACTTTAGAAAATGTGAAAATGATGCTATTCCATGAAATTGCACTTTGCGCCTTGTCAAGTCGTTAGTGGAGCGTGTGTGGTTAACCGACACACTAACTTGGACTAACAAGGGTGGCAAAGGGTAGCTCGAGAATTATCATATGTATCAATGGAGTGTGTGTGGTTAACCGACACATTGATTAGGTGGTAAATGACTCGAGAGTGCCAAGCTAATTTGCATGGTTATTCACACCTTGTTTGTGATCCTCGGTATCCCAGTCACAAACTTGAAGGGCATAATCGAGATCAAACATGCCATTGAAAAATTCAATGAATCTCAAAAGAATCTAGGAATTTCATTTCATTTAAAACCTAATTCTTCATTTCGTTTTTCGTGGTGGAATTGGTAAATCGTCATTTACCTACCTTCAAATAATTTGCAATTGGATTACGGCATCCCTCTTCCGAATTGTGAATTATTGTGTTGGGTCCTAGCCTTAATATTTCATTTGGGTGTTATATTAATGATTCTTTATCTAATCAAAATGTTGTCTCTTTTCTTTTTCAGATGTATGGCTCAAACAACGCTTCTGGCTCGAACTCCAGCTCCTCAAGCCCCTTTTCTCTTTTGAACATTTGTGGCAGGGTCACCTTCGATGGATCCAATTTCAATGATTGGATTCGCAACATCCGTATGGCCCTACGATACGAGGAAAAAGAATACGTCCTCGATAAAGAGCTCAAAGAGATAGATGAAACCAAATCTTTTGCTGAACAAATAGCTGAGTATAGGGCTCACGAAAAAGACGCGACAAAGGTGTCGTGTATAATGGTAGCCACTATGACTCCTGAGCTACAACGGTTCTACGAGGACTACTGGACTTATGAGATGTGCCAAGATTTGATGGAAAAGTACCATCAAAGCGCGCGTCAGGAAAGGTACGAGATTGTTGCCTCGCTGATAACTACCAAGATGAAGGATGGAGAGTCCATCACGAGCCAGTTGCAAAGGATGCAAAGGTATGTG